TATAATATTTGAAACCATTTACCTGATTCATCATAAAAATACATTAAGAATTTGTCAGACAATTGAAAGAGACAATGTGGTAGAGAATAAAGATTACGTCCTTCAAACAGTAGTGAGCCAGCAATAAACATAAAGTTAAGCGAGCGACAGGATCACTTAGCGTTATAGTCTTTGCCACAATAAATTCACGGACAACGCCCACTCCCAATACTTGCGAGAACTTTTGACTGTTGGCGCAAGATGTAAGCACTGAGCGGGACAATTATTATTTTCTGAAAGAAATTTTTAGTATATACACATTTGATTAGGATAATATTATATATAATATACTAAGTAATTATAACTAGTTTAATAATAATTTCTAATATTGGATCGATTATTACATTTATTTTGATAGAAATTGCATAAAATATTTCTGTATTACTCACAAAAATTTTATTTTTATAATAGTCAATCAGTAACCTATCTAGGTTACTCATTGACTTATGGGTAAATACTTATTTACTCCGCTGGCGCATCGACCCAAAGTGGGTCTTGACCTCCGGGTAAATATGAAACGTATTAATTTAAACCTTCGATTTACTAAATTCCATAGCTTTTCTATTTTTGTGCAGTATTAAATACCAAAAAATTCAAAAATTTTGTAAAATTTTACATAAATATAACTAGAACTACAAGAAATGTCTTTTGTGTACAACAAAGTTTTTACTTTGAAGAACAATTGTGATTGGTATCTTGAACGTTGCAGTTCAATATAATTACGTGCACGTTCACAAAGAGAAGCGCTTCAATTACCCGCAGTGCTTCTGCTTCGCTAGCTGCTGGAGCGAGTGGCTTGAAGTCAGCTAGAGGAAGCGTAGTCGGTGCAAGTGAACCATGCTGCAACGTTTATCGATCATCCGCTCTGTTTGAAGTCCACTCCGATATTCACGTAAAGGAATATTTTTCCTTTTAAAAGCTACTACTAACTAACCTATTCCGTTGTGAGTTGAAAATGTACTAAATTTTTGGGATGCTTTTTTCTGGTCTTTTGGATCCGATAAAAATTTTAGACATTCCAATAAACTTTTCATATATGGAAGAAATTGAAGGCTGAGTTTACACTAAAATTTCCAATATTCGGCAGTATTGTAATGCTTATATAAAGTTGCATCTTCAGTAAATTTAACTTTATATCATTAATTTGAAATCAAAATGGTTTCCATCACAAATTCTGAAGAAATACTTAACAATTTGTTACTTCACTTGAATGAACACTTTACTGGTTAAACTTTACAAGACTTTGTTTATACTTTAGGTGAAATTTATAATTATAATGGTCGTTTAGCGACGGATGGCGTCAAGTCTGTTTACAAAGTGAGACCAAAGGCAGCCGCCGCGTGCCGTGACGTCACCACATAATAAATTCACGGCTAAAGGAACCCATTGTTGCGGAAAGCTTTCAGCGACCGCCGCAAGCGACAGGCGACAGCGCGGCACGTGGTACAAGGTTTGTTGACTTTTTATTATACAAATATTTAAACCAGTGGCATATTTTAGTAATTGAATGTCGAAGCTAGTAATTCTTGAGTATTGCAAATTTCGATTCAATAATGAATACTCCATTATTGTCTACAATTTAATAACCTACGTAATTCTTAGTTTTCCCGTCACATAATAATTGTTCAATCAACTATTTCTTATATGTAAGCTCATACTAAACAAATCCTTTTAGGAAAACATCTTTGACAAATCGCTTCCGCCCGCTGCGATTTACCGAAATCAGAAAAATTCCGTAGCTCTGGATAACGCAATATCCGGCCCCAGAGGATTCGGGATTTCCCTCGCTTCAGATATTGTCAAGAAATGTCGACACAAAAACCTCTTTAAGCCTTCCACAATAGCTGATACGGCTTTATTAAGTTGTTGAATGCTATTGATAAACTAACAGCCTTCAATATTCTATGAGAAGAAGGATATTAGGTACCTTTGTTAACCTTAAGGTTAAAGTATCAAGGTTACTATAACTTACTTTACGATGCAAGTTATAAGACAAATTAACTACGTATAAAACTCCTTGGTGAATGTTTCAAGACAATCAAAAAGCAAAGCAATTGTTTTATAAAGTTTCCATTGATATTCTACTAGATGTCGCCCGCGTATACTTAAGCGCAGAATTAAACAAAACCTAATATAAGTAGCCTATGTCTTCTTCCAGACTGTGTTGTACATCTATGTCAACTAGCAACATTTGCACTCATTTTTACTTTCTTAACATATCATATAAATCCATAATAGTACAAAGCAGATAAACTAATTACAACAAAGAGCGTTGACTTGTAAGACATTGCTCGCTTGACCTGCGACGGCCTTTACTAATGACTCGCAGATTTCTTGATAGAAACATTCGTTTTTCATTCATTATTCATCACTCATATTATTCTTTGTGGATATGACGAGATAGACGATTTGCAGGACTAAGGAATAGACATATAGGTGTAGACTGTACTTTAGTTATGAAAGACATTTTGAGAAATATAAATAAGATATTATTCTAGGAAAGAAACCTATAGCTAAAAGATTTTGTTCGGGCGATCCTTGACATTAAAATCTATTAAAAGTTATTAAATTTTAAAGTGTTCGTTACTTTAAATTCTTAAAGTTAATCGATTTAGCTGAAGGTTGCCGAATTTAAGAGATTTCAAGAGCTCGATTGTGAAGAATCTTGAACTGAGAACGATCTCTACCGGAGGCTGACAGTCCGGATATTGCCGGAGTAGCTGAAAAAATCGTCTCGGATCGGGTGAAGCGAAAGCGTTTTGTTTTAATTGATTTTTATAAAGAAAGGAATAAGTTACTCAATCGTAAACTATAACGTGGTAGTCAAACGAATAGAACATTTGAAAAAAGATGAAATATCGGAGCAAATATTTACGAAAAACAAATGAAAATGCATATTCCTTAAAACGTTCAAATTAAAATTTCAAAATGGAACGAAAAAGTTAAGCAATATTGAACCGTTCCGTCAGAGTTTCAGGCGCGCCTGCTAATGGTCGTGATATTTTCTAATAAGAAAGTAAAGTTCGTCTCGGAGATCTCTGGCCCTGTCTATGATAAGAGTTCCTCAGCCTGTTTGTGTAAATTTCCTCGTAGTGATAGCAGATAGCAGAGATTTGAGGTTAATGACCTCGTATCGGGTCAACGTTACTAATTATTGTCTCATACGTATTGATAACTGTATTAACTCGAGTATATAAGACGATTGAATGTTTATATACAAATATATAGCTTTATATGTATTAATAGTTTCTATATTAATTAGCAACTTATTAGGTATTCATTAGAGAAAATTTGACATGGATTATGTTATATAATTTTAGGTCAATTCCCGTATATTCACTGATGAAAATGGTCTTCGATATTAAAACAAGGAAAGTTAATATAATACAACAAACAAAGAATATTAACAACTTGGCAAAAAAAGCAAACAATGTAAGCGTGAAATTAACAAAACGTAGGAAAGAAAAAGGAAAGCTTCGGAATATTATTGTTTTGTTTGTGTCAACATGTATTGTTTATCAAAAGGTCCTTTTTAAACGAACTAGTATGACTAAAGCTTGCTTGGATAAATGTGCCACCGATCGTTTGTGAATTATGTCAATTTGTAAATGGTCTAGATACAACATTCAATTTTTAGCTATGAATTATAAATAAAACATTTACGATTTGTCAGTTTATAAACTGACAAAGTCAAATTGTAAACGGATATTTTGTTAACGTTAAATTACATAAATATCGTAATTAAAATGTTCGTTGATGAAAAAAGTTTAAGAATTTTTAGCCAAGCGAAATTATAAAGTGACGTAATTAACAATCGTCCGGGGACAAAATTTAGGTTCTTCCCGGAGGTGCATAACAATGGACTTGTATTTTTTCATTAGCAAACCGCAGGGAGGCATTTTTGTTCGGTTGTGGTTTCGTTTTGTTTTCATAAAGGACGAGACGAGAGGCAACAAAAGCGAGCGAATGAGGTCTTCCTTTTGTAATTTTGCAACTTGTGTGGCCTCAGCCGGAGGAGGAATGCTCGCAAAATGTTAAGATATTTCTTCAAATGAAACATTTTTAATATACATTAATAACAAGAATAGTAAAAGTAACGTTTTACACAAGAGTCAGTTCACAAATTAAATATAAAAAAGATGGAAGAGCTATTGCTTGAAGAAATTAAAATACTGGCTAGAAACATCCTAAGATTTTGCATAACGTATAAAATAACATAGAAGGTTGTTAATTATAATTACTATTGCAAGTTAATTAAAAAAAAAAACTTATAAAAATGTGTTTGCAAACTGAAGATATTTTATAGTTATTTTTCATACTTAGTGGCGCGGTAAAGCCTCCGCCGTAGCGAATATACAACGTATTCGAATCTTGTAATAAACAAAAAACATAAGTTTAGTTCAAATGTTATATTCTTCAGTTATATATAATATTTATATAATTCTACAAGCGTACAAGCTCTTTTGACAAAAGCCTTCACGACTCTGTCGACACACAACTTTCTTATTTGACTTAACACACTCCTTTGTGTCGTACAATGTAATATAACTTTGGTGAGTTTCATTTTGTCGCCGCTCTGATTTTACAACTTACGTCTGTCAAGTTGGTGACATCAAAGGGTTGTCATAAGAAATAAGTTCATACGTCAATTAAAGTACAAAACAATAACTTGACAGAATAAGTATATTGTTTTGGAGAACAAATGAAATCGGGTAAATGGTTGGGCTGTTTGAGTGTTATAGTTGATTTTGGTTTCAATTTTTATTTGGAAACAATAATAGAAATGGAATGTTTCAAATTAATGTAATATTTGAATTATAATAATAATTAATTTATTTCCAGGATCCCTTATAACATTCCACATATTTACTAAAAAAAAACTTGTAATTTTCTATATTATTCTGTTTAGAATCTTATGTAAAATAAAATAATATATAACTAAGTAATAATTTAAAACTTACATAGTAAATATCCGGGAAGACACAAACTACAATAGCACTCGGAAACTTCAAACGTAAATTTGTAAGCGATGTATAAACCGGAAGCCGGCTCGCAACACGACGCACGTCCGCTCCCCGCGACGCTCGGGGGAGGAATGGCGGGCTCTGGGCTTGCGGGTTGCGCGCCGGACGCAGCTTTCCTGCTACAGCAGGTCACAGACTAAAAAAAGCAATATGTTTTCTTTTTTAAAAAATAACCGTAACAATGGCCATGTTAAAAATTTGACTTTAGATTTATTTTTAGTATCGTATCGTTATGGTTATGGTAACGGCGATCATTTTGAGCTAAACCTGGCACCTATTTTTATTATTTAACTTTAGCGTACCAACATTATTTCTAAGTATGTCTTCTTAGCGGTAAATTTAGGGAAACTTTTCTTTGTAACTGATTAAAGCTTTCATAAAATTCATCGGGATTCTGATTAATTATTACATCATGTATCAATGACTACATCTTTTACAAAACGATTAAAAAGTTTGGTTATGATTTAAATCACTTATCTTGTAAAAGACATCAACGGGTATAAAGTTAAATGTTATAATTTGCAACGAGGAGTAAAGTAAGTTGCGAATCCTTACATGTTTCCACAAGGACAACATAAGAGTATCTCTTACATTTCCTATCAAATAAGGTAATAGAATAAAAAAGCTAACGTGTATAAAAACGCGGTATTTTTTTTTATTCCTGTACAGTGTCGGAGCAAAGAAACAAATAAGTCACGTGCCGTAAAAAGTAATAAAAGTATAATGGTGGCCGCGGCGTCCGCTAATTGAAACTACTCGAAGCGTGCCGGACGTTAACGCCTTCGCGCGCTTTTTTAGCCGCCATGACAGTTGTCTTGTCGCCGCCATGACACCACTAGGCGATGGATCACATTTTAAACATTTCATAAACTTTGCCAACGCTCCGTCTTAATAAATCTTTGTTAAGCTTAGTTATTACAGAACTTCCTGCAGTAAGTTTGGAGCAAAGTTAAGAGACGCCGCTCTTGTTGTTTGTCGCAGTTTTTTCATGGAAGTTAATTCTATTCAACAGCGCTTGCATTATGTTTTTTTTTATTATTAAAACGCGGTACTTTTTGTAAGACTAAGTATGGCGTGGGTGACGTCTATTAACTATCATAAGTATGTCTTAATAGAATCTATCCTATTTTAAATATTATACCAATATTGTGTTTTTTATTGTGAATTTGTACCGATTCAAGTTTTAGACTGTTTCTTGCTTTTCTGGAATCTGTCAGAGTAGAGACACTTTGATGCGGTTTACAGACTTCGTACAACTTGGAGCCTAAGTTTGAATCAAGTCTGTGTTTCCATTTTATGTCAATAAAGTGCTAGCATGCAAATTATGTGTTTAAATGCAAATTAGTTTGTTAAATTGTAAATTATGTTCGTATATTAAATATTTAAATAAACATGTATTTTAACGGTAGCCATCTCTCGAAATCAAATCTTTAAGAGTTCAATTAGACTTTCGTGACAATTATAAAATCGTTTAATTTGTTATTTAAACCAAACACATACATTTATCTAAGCCAAAAAAGTTAATTTAACATAAGGTTTTTTACTTTACTATAAGGATTTTATCTACTTAACTCTGTCTTATACATAAACTGGTTTTAACTTAATCATTTTGATGATCAGGTCATTGACATAAATGTGCGCACCGTATTAGGATGTTGACATCCCGTTACTTCGCGGTATTGAGTCCTGTTTCCATCAAAGGGCTTAAAGAACAACGTTATTTATAACTAACTGCTAGAAGATGTTTTATTGCGATGTAATTGCAGGATATAAACGAAGAAAAACAATTTATTTCTACAAGTATTATCTATATTTGTTTTTTTTTAATATATTTAGTACAGGTTGACATTATACTCAGCAAGTATTTTACTTTAAAGTGGATATAATAGAATTGAATGCTGGAACATCGGCTTGATTAAGACTACAAATATATGCAGTAGAAGCATTTTTTCTCTCGAAAAACTTATCTGTCTTTATTTGCAAAAGATGCTAATTTATATATTTTTTTTTATAAGTGAAGGGGGCAAACGAGCGGCCGGAACACCGAGGTGATCAACGACAACCATGGACAACTGCAACACCAGAGGAACTGTAGATGCGTTGCCGGCCTAAATGGTGTCACAAACGACTTTCTTGAAATACAACTAAAGTTATTTCAGTTTGCAGTCAAAGTTTTGTCGAGCAGTAAATGACATTCGGTTTAAAATGAAGACACTTTTATCGATGTGCCTGCTGAAGGCAGTCTGAAGTTTGCAAGTTGACTGGCGACTGGCGACTGGCGAGGTGTGACACAAGTTCTGCTTCCACTTTGTTATTTCCTTTACTTACTATACAAGTATACTGAACACATACCGAAACTTTGAAATAGATTCGTTCTAGTTTAAGTTTTCAGCTCAAATGTTATATAAAGGAGTGAAATTAACCATCTTAAGATGAAATAGAAAAAACAAGAAGAGAGACGTTTTTTATCAAATCAGCAATATTTGTCAATATATCGCGCGGAGTTGCGGACAACAGCCAGTCCATTCCAAATTTCAACAAGATTCATGCATCCGTTCTGGAGTTACCTTACAAACATCCATTCATCTAAACATTCACATTTATATTATGATCTGTTTAATGTTGGTATTACTGTACGACGTGCGCATCGTAGCTTATGAGTGATGTCTATTTATGTCGTAGGTATCCAAAGCATAAATGAACACGTGTCCCCGCTGTACACTCCCCCGCAGAGACGATGTCCACAAGTTAAAATAAAACTTAAATAATGAATGCATAATTAATAGAATAAGCCATTGTAAACTAAAATTATATCTATGTTCCAGCTAAGTGAAGTAACGAATGAAATAATTTTGAATGAATAAACTAATAATAAACAAGACTAACGTGGTTGCCCATGGCTTAATCACCGCTTACTTAGGATAGGCTCCAAGCCCCTCAGTGGGGATGTATAGTGAGCTGATGATTTTAACATTTTAAAATACAAAAAAGAAGTATTTAATTAATATTTTTAAACAAGAATGCTTCGTGCGTTGCGAGAGGCAGCCGACGTGATGTAATTAATATAATGTGGTATTAAATAGATGAGAAATGACGTGGTGCGCGCTCGCTGCCCGGCATTCACTCAGTATTCAAGTTGTTTGCACTATATTTAATTATTACTACTTAATTATACAAACGCCTGTACTAGGATGGTTTACTAAGACTTAGCCATCCCTTAGGGTAGACTCGAGCCCAGAGAAATGGCACATGTATGAGATGACAACTATTTTCATCAAGTTTCGTACTAATTTCTTACAATGTCTATTATACAACTGCATATTGTTTTCAGTCAAAGTAATTGTGATAAAATTGCACAGTAATTTCAATAAAATCAAATTAAATTACGTAGATAATTTAATTAATTAGTATTGCTTTAAACACTTATAGTATAACTATAAAATATAACATTATAATATGTAATAATTGTCATAGACAAAGACATCAGATTATACTCTATGATGGATCCGCAGGACTTTATCCGACGATATATCACATAGAGTCGTTACTATTATTAATTTATCAAAATTAACATTAACTTAATTACTGATAAAGCTTAAAAATGACAGAGGTGAAAGTTTATTTCAACAAAAACATCAAATGTATGTTGTTAATATTTTAACAATAGGAAGTAGTTGAATGTGACATATTTTCATTGCTTTATCGTGGATTGTATTTTAATAAGTTAAATGAGAAAGGTCAAAGTATCGTGTACAGAGATAAGGATTACTAAACCTGGTTATACTTCGTTTCAGAGTTCGCTCAGGAGACTAATATAATATCGTCATTGTTAGAAACAAAGCAGCATCAGGTTCTGATACCTATAGCAAATGCCAGACGACGTCTATAAAAGTGGATCCTTCAACCCCCTGTTTGCTCGTGGATATTGCGTACCATATTCTTGAAAGGTGATGCACTAGACCCTGTGTCTCAACATATCCCACTCTGCCCAATTCTGAACGCACTTTGTTATATATCGCGAGCAAGCCATTAAAATTCACAAATATATCTCATCATCTCCCTGACATCCCACTCATGTGGGGTCACACACGCAGCTTTTATGCACTTTAAAGTTTTGACTTAATTTATACGGCCGGCGACCTGTCTATAGCGAACCCTGCTTGAGAGATTTAAATTAAATATTTAAACACACTACAGATTTCATTAAAAGCATTGTATTATTTGATTTTTTCCATATACTGTGTATTTTAGTACAAACAATGTAATATAACGAATAACATCTCTATGTATTTCTTTGTTCTATTAATATAATGGTATGATGTCGCATTAAGCTTATAAGATCAATTAGCGTCGTGTTGGCGTGTAATCTACTTAGATATTTAATACGTTTGATGAAGTGATAATTAATGACAGTGAGAGCCTACTGCTATAAACTCAGTGTAATTCTACTTTGGTGATTAAAGATTTCAAGTAGTTGTTACTAGCGTTTCCTAAGTATTATTCATCGCTAAAATTTGAAAACCTCGTATTGCTTAACTTTATAGGAGACATTAAATCTTATCGAAAAAATTGTACGGAGAAAATTAACTTTTAAATTAATTTGGTGCAGGTAACATAGTCTCGAGTAAAACTTGAGATAATTTTTACCCTTTTTAAAAATTCTGTGCACACACAGTCGCAGGCAAACTCTAGTTAATAATAAATACAATATGTTTGTAATAAATATAATACAAATGACGTGTTCCCTAATTGTGCAGTGGCCTGCATCGCCTCCAGCTCGGCCGCTCCGATATTTATATATAAATGTATAAAACTTTATTATTTTCATGTCAATGTAAAGTAAAAGACATGCCAGAGTATAATACTTGATATATTATATTTCTCTTTTATTCCAGTAAACTTAATAAACAGTAGAGAGATAATGAAGTTAGTAACGTAATTTGCTGTTTGTTAAAACAAATTAAAAAGTACATTTTCGTCTTCTTATCTTATCTTTTGTGAGTTAAATACCTAATCTTACTATTTTACTAATATTATACGTAAATACTAATGTTTGAATGTAAGGATGTATTTGGAAAGTATTT